AAATGGAGAGGACTTTCGGCGCCCTGCGGGCGCATGCAGAACGCCAGCAGCTCTGCTCGAGGGGCGGTCTGATGCTGGCCCAACAGGATGCCAGAAGCGCCCCCGACCACGCCCCACCCCTCGGACCCTGGGGCCCGCCGAATGACCGGCGCGGCGGCCCCGCAGAGCCCGCGACAGGGGCCCGACGAGAACCCCTGCCACAGCCGCCGCCAAAGGCGACATGGGGCTCGTGCCCCAGAGGGGCCGAGGGCCCCAGCGACGAGAGACGACCCAACGAGACGCGACCTTCTAAGTCGGCAGGGCCCTCGCAAGCAGGGCGGGCGTGATCGGGGGAGGGGCCTCGGAGACATCGGGCAGCGTGGGTCTCTGCGCCAGCTAACGCCTGCGGAACCAATCGATCAGAACTTCCAGCATTCCCACGATTCGCACTGCACGGGGATTCCCAAATTCTGCAAAACAAAATCTCTGGAGCGATCTTGCAACGAGGGCGAGGCTGCCCGGCCGCCGAACCAAATCGATTCGCGCGCGCACGCGGCCATGGGGAACCAGAAACCACGCGGACGCACTGCCCAGTGACGTCGCACGCCCCATCTCGCAGGAAACGATTGCACTCGCACCGCGCCGTGTGCGCATCGCCGCCGCGCCTGGGGTCCTCGCAGTGAAAAAGCAACGGAACTTGACCCAAGTTCTGGGCTTCAAAGTCGCGAGTGACTTCGTCGAGGGCCTCTCCAGAACCCATCCCGCGGCAATCGGAATCAGGCAGCGATGGCGCGAAGACTGGGCAGTCGCACGCTGGCGACGACGCGGCGCGCCTCCGCGCATTCGCCGCGAAGAGGGCGCCGTCCAGCGCCCAACAGAATAGCAATAACAACAGCAACAAGGCGCATGGCCAAGCGCCATCTTCAAGGCGTGCCCGCAGCAGACAGTGAACCGCGAGTTCCCGCCCGCGCGCGTTCAACGTTCCCGCGCTTCATTGGCCGCTGCTGCCAACCGGCCAAGCATGGCGAAATCAACGGCCGCGCGGGCCCCGAGGCCGGGCCCCTCGTCGCGGCGAGGCGGCGACCCCAGAGAAGCCCAGCAACTGCATTCGCCGCGCCTCGTCGATACCTGCGAGGCTGGCGCGGGGCGACTCCGCGCGCGGGGCGCCCGCGCGCTGCTCGGGGAAGAGCGCCGGTCGCCGGCGAATTCTGAGCAACTCTGATCCGCTCAGCGCGATAAGTGAGCGCGCGCATCCTGCCGGTTTGACTTGCGCGCCGGGCGCGTCCGCCCAGCTGCCGCGTCAACTCCCAGGTCGATAGTTTCGAGTCGAGGCACGATCGAAGGGGGGCTAGAGCTCGGCGAAATTGGTCTGCAAATCGACGGGCCATCTTGAGCGGCGCGGCCATGGCGACGGCTTCTCAGACCATCTCTGAGCGCTCCGCAAGCCGATGCCACTACAGTCTCCACCGCCCTCTCAACACCCTCCGATCGACACGCGGCGTCGTTGATGAAAACCCAGGAGGTGACGGAGTCCGCCCGCGCCCGGGCATCTTTCAGCAGCAGATGTAGACAGAACTTTGCAGAACGCAACCAGCGCGGACATCGGGCCGCCAGGGGACTTGCAACGCGAATGGAATGCGACGCGCCGATCGCGCTGCGCGAGAATCGCGGGGCGGCACGGAGCAGACGTGCCACGATCGCAGGATGCCCAGCTTCAACTGCCGCTCAACATAGTAGCGCCCAAGAAGCATAATCGTATAAACGCAAAGCCCCATCAATCAGCAGCCGCAGCAACTCTGGGAGGGTGCGTGCCCTCGCCCAACAGCGGTCTGGTGAGCGCGGCCTTCCACGCGCTGCTGCCAGTATTTGCACTGCCCCATGGGCCGAAAGCCCCTTTTGCCCAGCCTGCAGTCACTGAATATCGCAGTGGGGACCTCACCTGGGCGGCATGTGGCAGGGCACCTATTGCGCCAGCAGCCACGCGCGCGCTGCGGGGTGCAACTGAACGGGCCTAACTCGGCGAGGCTTCACCTCTCCCTGCCTTTCTAAATAACCTGGGCGGCCAACAGGGGGCAATCGTAGTGAATCCCGCGAGATCGTAGAACCGATGAGGGGAAGCTTGGGCAGTAAACCATCCAGGTGTTAGATCGACATGGGGGCTTATATCCTCTCCCAGGGCACGCTGGTGCAATGCGCGCAAAGCTGATGCAACGTCGATGTGCTGGTCGACGCTATCCGTCCAAAATGATGCGCACGCGGTAGCCTTAGCGGCGAGGTTCTCCGCAGGCTCTGCGATGATGCGCCCGTCCTGCAGGAGCTCCTGTCTCGTGGTCTTCGGGCCCTCCACTAAGGCGTTGGCCCACTTGATAAACCATGCCTGCCTTGGATGAAACATCGCGTTTGCGCTCGGTGTCGAGCTGCTCGGTGAGGCACACAAGGTCGGCAAACTTGCGAGGTCTCGCACCGGAAGAGGTGCGGTCCAATCCAACCAACGCTGCTTCTCACCCATATGGCCCTTGCCGGAGTACAGCTCAGCATCGCAGCTCCTGATGAAACAAGCCTGCCTGTGCAACTGGCATTGGCACTGTGGAAGTTGCCTTTGGTCCCTGCCGTGCCTTGCCTGGGCCGAACTACGACGCGTAAAGGGATGGGCGATGATCCACCACTCTTCTCCTGCGTTTGATGAAAAAGGCCGTCTTGGTGTAGCTGTAGACTCTGCCCGCTTGAAGCTGGGCCCCAGAGCCCGGCCCACAATGTCGTGGAGGGGCATGCTGTGATGCGTGGCCCAGGCTTTCTCAAGCTGGACTGTCGCCCTCGCCCGCGGGATCAATCTGCCCCAGGAAGTGCGAGCCCCCGACTCCCGATGTCAAAACAAATTGGGCTCAAGGCTGGGTAACAGTAGCTCGTGTTGGCCTCGACCAATCAGGCACCTTAGAGGCCACCGACTCTTGGCTAGGTGGGTCTGCGGGCTAGGAATGTAGAGGATCACATTCTCCACATAGGCCCTCTGGAGGATGTTCGCGGCATCGCTCCAGAGCATCTGCGCGTTGTAATGACCGCTTGCTGGTGGGGTCGGGCGCCTTCTTGGGGCGCTTCACCTTGGGCAACGCTGACAGCGCAATGAGCTCGCGCTGCCACCGAAGAGAACAGTTTCCCACAAAATCAAGTTGCCGACCAATGTCTTCCAGGGAACCGATCCAAACCTTCCGAGGAAATACTTCTGCAATGTGCCAGACTTGACCAACGCATGATCACTGAACGACCCATTTCTAACTTCACCACAGGTAACACTCACGTCAGACGGAACCAACACCAACAGTTCGCCTCGAAGTTTCGATGACCACCCTGAACGCTCCGAGCTCGACGAGACCATGATCCAGTCGCCGATGACCACCCAAAGGTCTGCCAGCCCTGTTAGGAAAGAGCCCACGCTGATCAAAATGCTCCACTTTCGATCTCTGATGCCAAGTCGTGGACAAAGATTGCGAACGATAGTAACAGCATTGCCTCCACACAAGCCCACAACCATGGGCGAAAACACTATACACGGGTCCTGGTGACGTTCGCGAACAGCTGGTTCTCATACAGGTCGAGCAACACCGATACATCAGCGCGACCATGCGGCACAGAAGAACTGACATCACTATCCCTCGAGGGCGGTGGCCCTTCTTTCCGTGATGCGACGCCCCCATCGCGTAAATGATACCTATACAACCATCATTCGGGTGATGAGGAGGTTCGGGGGGGAGAAACCAACGTCTCACTCAATCGATCTCTGTGTCGACCACACTATCGACCTCACTATCGATCTCACCATCGATATCACTATCGATATCACGATCGGTCTCACGATCGAACGCACTATGGATCTCACTATCGATATCACTATCGGTATCACGACCGTTCTCACTATCGAACTCCGTATCGGTATCCTATCGATCTCACTATCGTTCTCAGTATCGATCTCAGTATCGATCTCACTATCGTAACCACGATCGACTCCATTATCGATGTCACTATCGATCTCACGATCGATCCCACTATCGATTTCACGATCAAGCTCAGTATCGGTTTCACCATCAATCTCATTATCGATATCAATATCGGTCTCAATATCGATCTCAATACGGGACACCGACGGGACAGCGACGGGATACCGACGGGACACCACGGCGGGACACCGACGGGACACCACCGCGGGACACCGACGGGACAACACGGCGGGACCAACCCGGCCACCGCCCGCCCACCAGGGGGAAGTTCAGATATTTGTCTTGCCCGCCCCAGCAACAGCGGAATCACTCATCTCACCCGCCCACGCAGCTTCGCCTCGCCCGCACGAGCGACACGAATCCGAAACCGAAACCGATTTCCCTGTTGGGGGCTCTCTCCGTTCCACTTGAATCTCATCCTCCAACCTCCGATCACCGACAACCATCGAGGAAAGACGAGAATGCCGATAAAACAAACAAACACGATCACCAAATTCCCCACGCCCAGAATTTGTACGGAAGCAAGTGTTACGATGCTCGACAGCAAACGTCGTCCAAAAACAAGAGCGGCCGCTGTTTAGCAGGCGGTTTCCCGCATCGATTGACAACGTCCGCGGTCACACCGACAGCGAGTCCTGTGCAGAGCGGACAAAGACTGCTGTCGGTCCTCGTCCCCGTTCTTGCCGTGCTCATTTCGGATCGTACCGACCCCTGTGACCACATTTGGGAAGGCGAAAACCCACCCCCACCCCCAGTCCCGACCCCCGTCCCCGAACCCGCGATTCAAGGAGTCGGGACTGGGGGTGGGGATGGGTTTTCGGAGCCCAGGAGTGGAGAAAACCCACCCCCACCCCCAGTCCCGACCCCTTGAATCGCCGGCTCGAGGATGGGCGTCGGGACTGGGGGTGGGGGTGGGTTTTCGACTTCTGAGCGCACTAGGAGACAAAAACAACGGCGGGAGATCCCGACACGACTCGACGACGCGAGCGGCGTGGCGCGGGGGGGCAGGGCCAGCGGGGGAGTGGGCGCCCGAGTCAGGCCGAAGCGCCAGCCGCGTATGACGCGCCCCTCCTGGGAGGAGGGGCGCGGCGGTCGTCCTGCCCTCCGCCTCGGCCTCCTCCCCTGTCCTCCATCGCGCCAGTGCTGCTGCGGCCGATCCTCCATCCCTTCCTCACCGATTGCGAACATCTGGCGGCTCGAAAACACCTAGCACAGCACTTTGGTTTGCCATTCTGGGGCTCTGGCGGATGGCTTCGGGGCCCAGTGCCTAAAACAAGACATTCAGCAGCAAAAGCTCGCCCTAGGGGTCGATAGGTCCGGCGGCCCATGTCTCATACGAACCGAGCCGCTGGACATCTGGGTAACACTATCCTATTTCTGGTTTGGCCCGGCCTGGTTTGGCCTCAGAATACTTGACACGGGATGGGGCGCTGTGCCGCGCTCTGCCTTCCCGTTCAGCTTCGACGTGTGCCGCATCGTGGTTCGGGGTGATGCTTGGCGTGGCGTGAGTGTGCGGTGCAGTGGCTAAACTTGTGATGTGTAGCGTGTGATGTGTGGTTCGTGGGTGGGAGGGGTGCGGGTGAGGAGTGAAGGTGGAGGCGCGAGGGTGCGGTGTGGTGCGGTGGGACGTGTGGTGTTCCAGTGTTTGCTGCGGTGCAATGTGGTGTGGAGCGGAGCGGTGTATGACTCGTGGAGCAGCTTGCCAAAGAACTGTTGGAGCCACGTGCATCTATAGCGTGGTTTGCCAAAGCAGGGGTCCCCTCTGCGGGGCTGACGACGCCGCTCCCCACCCTCGCACGGGAAGGGTTAACTTGTGTGTTTGGGTTTCTATGGTTTTGGAGCGTGTGCCGCCTCTTCGCCCTGCCCCTCCTCCTCATCCTCTCATCATCCAAATGAGTCTTCGCACTCAGCCTCTACTCCAGCTGAGCAAAACACAACGCAGCAAACAAACAAGTGGCCAGCTGATAAGCAAGCCAACATCAAGCAACGTTACGAACACGAAATCAAATCGACGCCAAACGAAGACGCAATCTACCAAACAACACTCTGCTACTATAACTAGCCGTACTCCTTCTCAGAAGCCTAGTCCTGGTCCTGCGATTAGTCCTACTTTTCTTCGCACGAGATAGGAACATATGGTGTTGACTGTGATGTCTGTTCAATGGTTGTGATCCGTGCGCTCCCTCGTCGCCCTACCACTCCTTCTCATCCTCTCATCAATTTCATTCGCCTTCGCGATCAGCCTCATATCCACTTGAACCAACAAACATAGCAACACGCAAACTAAGCAACTATCTGAGAAGAGCAAGACAACAGCAAGCAACGTCATGCTAGCCACCTTGGGCAACATATGGGGCGTATGCCAATCCATGTTGTGCAATATATGTGATGCAATCTATGTTGTGCAATCTGTGTAGAGCAGCTTATGGTGTGCATGAAAAGTCGTGCAACATATGAAACACAAAATATGCTGTGCCATATCTGATGTGAAACGTGTGTCTCTCCATGTGGTGCCATCTATGTGGCGCAATATGTATGAAGCAAACCACGTGGTGCAATACACGCTGTGCACTGTAAGTTGTGCAGTGTAAGCTGTGCAACCCATGAGATGCAATATGAATGGTGCAGCATATGTTGTTCAATATATGTGGTGCAATGTATGTGGTGAAACTAGGTTGTGCAATTTCTGTCGTCCGATATGTGAGGTGCGCCCCATGAGGAACCAGTGTGGTGCAATACTTGCAGTGCAACCAATGTGGTGCAAACTATACTATGAAGCCTGTGTTGTGACTGTGTTGTGCCGTCTATGCAGTGCAACCTATGTGAAATCTCCGATAATCGGCGGGCTTGGAGGATGTATCAGGCGCCGCGGCCGTTTCGGAGCGTTCCGAAAAAGCTCTGAGAGCGTTCTGCAACACTCTGGACCGATGCATCTCGATTCGAGGCCTAACTGATCCTCCCCCCCTCCCTCCTCCTCCTCCTCCTCTTCCTCCTCCTCCTCCTCCTCCTCCTCCTCCTCATCCCTTTCCTCCTTTTCCTCCTCCTCCTCCTTTTCCTCTTCCTTTTCCTCATCCTTTTCTCCTCCTCCTCCTCCTCCTCCTCCTCCTCCTCCTCCTCCTCCTCCTCCTCCCTGCTCCCTCCTCCCTCCTTGGCCGGTGGGCGTGACCGTGGCCGGAGGAGTTTCGCTGGGCTTCCTGCGGCCAGGGGGAGAGGAGAGGCCGAAACCCTCGGCGAGGACGCAAGAGGGGAGGAGGAGGAGGAGGAGGAGGAGGAGGAGGAGGAGGAGGAGGAGGCGCCAGAGGGGCCCCAGACTGAGAGAAGATATGCAATTCCGATGGGCAACGTCAGTGGGTCGGGGGCGACGACGGGGGCGAACAGTCCAGGGGAGGGGAATACAGGTGCCCAAGTGCACCGATGGTCCATGCCTTCGGCGAGGCTCCCAAGCGAATACTTGCAATGCCCGCCCCTGGGCTATTCGCCCCCATCGTCGCCTGCGAGTGGGGGAGACAAGCTCTACGGTAAACATCACATTCGGAGGTTCGCGCGGACTACTCGGATCTGCGCTGGGGGCCCCCGGCCACCAAAAAGGGGGGGGGCTGCTAGGCTCGCCCAGCGCGATGGCAGGCCCCGATGGGAACGCAACGCTGGCCGCACCTGCCCGGCCCACCAGGGCCCCTGGGCATGACTGTGGGGACCGCGAGGCCCGTGCGGGCAAACTGGCGCACTCCTGGAGGGCACTGGCCCGCTGACCCCTGCTGCATTGGCCCACAGGCCCTTCGAAGCTGCGGAGCTCGCGGGGGGGCGGTCACAGCTCGCGGGGCACCCTTGCATCTCATAGTCCAATTGATGGCTCTCCCCCTGCTCTTTCCCTCCTCTCTCTCTCCTCCTTCCCCCGTCCCATTCCTCCACGTCGCCATTTTCCTCATTATCCTCCTCCTCCTCCTCCCCCCAGGAGGGTGGGGAGGGGAAAGCACGAGCAGTGGACGACGAGAGGAGAGGAAACCATGAAAACAATACACTTATCCACGCCACGAGGGTCCACCCTGTCCAGCCCATACCCCCGAACGCGCCATGTGAAGGGTACCGATAACAGTGTTCTGTGACAACTCACGGGGGCCTCTGCTGCGAGTCGACGCGAACCGATACTATTGGACGCTCGTCTACGCTAAATCAACGCTGACTCCCAACAGCCCTTTCAGGGCGGAGAGGATGTGAGAGTTTCCTCTTGCAACCCTCCTTCTTCGTTTTTGGGAAGGGTTCGCCCCTGCCCCATACCCCCCTCTGGACCTGGACGGAAGGTTCCATGAGGCGTTGGGGTGTCCAACATGGCCTCGATGAAAAAGGACAAATCACGGATGTTCCAAAACTGTTGGGCTCAGTTTGGCCTCCTGGGAGGGGACCCTCATTTGGTCACCCTCCTTTTTTGGCTGATTTTCTCCGACATGGCCTCAAGATGGCCCACAAGGCCCCCAGGAGGTCCCAAAAAACCCTAAAGAGGCCCCAAAAAAGACCCGAGAAGATCCTTCGAGGGACCCAAGCTGCTCAAAGAGGCCCCCGGGACCGCCAACAGGACCCCAAGACGCCCCGAAAAGACTCCAAGGACTCCAAGAAACTGTTAAGAGACATCCATGAGGTCTCTCTCTCCACCTCCTCCTCGTCCTCCTTATCCGCCTGTTCTTTCCCTCCCTCCTCCTTCCTCCCTTCTCCACCTTCCCCTCCTCCGACTCCTCCCCACCTCTATCCCCCCCCCTCTCGGGGTACGACGGCTTCCCCAGCCATTTAGTCCACTGCGCGTTCCTCGTCTCAATCATGGCATCTCGCCTGGGCATCGTTTCAGGATGGACTGGTTGGGATACTTCTTTTTTTTACAGCCGCAGGCGGAAGCGCCGGCGGCGGCAGGTCACGGTCGGGCTGCGACCGTAACAAATTAGCCGGGCGCGCGCGGGGGCCGCGGACCAGGCGGCGGTGCAAGCTGCAGCCCAGGGAGTCTGGTTGGGATACGCGAAGCGTCCAGAATTTGGTGCCCGATCATAGACTACACGACACCAGAACGGCCAAAAAAGGGGCCGCACGCGTGCAGCTCACAAACAACGGCAAAAATGCAAGCTACACAACTGGGCTCAAACGCCGCTCAGAAGGCGAGGACACCCGGGCCCAACTGGCGGTGGGTTCGATGGCGCCCACATTGCGATAGCGTCACATTCGACGAAACTCTTCTCGGCGACAAGTCTGCATGTGCCGAATGTAAGACCAGCACCCCACCGCAGTCGTGAGGAACGATGCCGCGTAACCACACCTCGTGTGCGAGCGGGCCGTCGAAGAAGTACCAACAGATGAACATCTGCATCCAGAAACCTCCCAATCGGCGAGGCGTTCTGCCCGAACAAGCGGCGCACCACGAACCATGGCCCCCGAGGAAACCGGCGTAGAACGACGGGTGCCGAGGCCACCTTTCTGAGGACACGCGAGGCCCCCGCAATTCGTTGCCGACAAGATCGAGGTTCGGCAGACCTCGGAACGGCTCGGTGGCGGAGGCGAGTGGCCGCGGGGCTGCCCGCGGATGGGCGGCGCTGGTCGGGGCGCTCCAGCAGGGCATCGGCGAAGAGCTGGTAGAACTGCTTGGACCTGCTGGGGAAGCCAAAAGGTACCGAGACCGCTACTTAAGACGAAGCAAGCCAGGACGAGGATCAATTCGGGTGAGGATGAATCTGGACTCTCTGAGATCTGGCGGCTCTGGAAGATGTCTCGGGCGCCGCGGCCTTCTCAGAGCGTTCCGGGACGCCCTGAGAGCGTTCCAGAACGCTCTGAAACGGATTGATCCTTGTCCCAGCCCCGTCCGACCACTCCCCGGACCTCTCCCTCGGTGCGTTCTGCAAAGGAGGCCCAGACAAAGGGGAAGACGAAGGAGAGGTAGAGGTGATGGGTACCACTTCCTCCTCCGACCTGCCCGGGCTGTTCTTGTGCGGCCCCCTCGTGTGCAGGTTCAGCGTCTGGTCCTGGCAGCGGGGGAGGGGTCGGAGCGGGAGCGAGGGCGAGGCGCCGACAGGGTCGGAGCCAACCATCGGGGTGGGGCAAAGAGAGAGCAGCAGTGATGCGCGAGTGTACGGTCGAAGCGCCGTCATAAGGAGCCCTAAACAAGGAACGAGGCCTTTTTTTCCATACTTTTAAGCTTCGACTTCCCATAGATGGCCTACGGAAAACCTAAGACAGACTGTAAAACAATTAGCGAACACCGGGCCCCTCCCAACCGAAAAGGGATCCTCCTGCAGCGGCCCTACTGCAGTGATAATCGCCGCCCAGCGGTCAATGTACAGCGGTGGTGTCTCAGGGCTCGTGCGTTCAGCGTGTCTCTGGCATTCGTTTTCAATGCAGCGTGTGCCGATGCGCCGGCCAGGCACGGCTCCTTCCTGTCCTGTCCGACGAGAGAAGCAAGGCGCCTGGGACGCGCCAAGTCAAGGGTACCGCTGGACCGAGGCAGCAGAACAGTCGACCACCACGCGCAGAATCGAAGGATTCGAGGGCCCATTGCTTCAAAGGTTCATCCGTAAAGCCGTTCCCGACTGCAGACGGGCACGCTCCTCGAGGGCTGGAAGGCGGGTCCCAAGGAGGAGCCGGGCCTTTCCAGCAACCTTTTGCCCTGCACTTAGAATCCACAGTGAAAGGCAAGAGCCTGCCAGACCCTTGGATCGCAAAATTGAAGCAATCATACTCCGCGCAATCTGAGAAGGATGGGATAGACCGGCAATAATGCCATGGTACGGCGAATTCGAGTCGTGACGACGCTGACATTGGCTTCTAACACCGAGGGGATCGGTCACTGTTCACCCTTTCACGATCGCGGCTCTCCGAACACAAAACGTTTGAGATCGGTCTGTTCCGGACCACTGGCATTGGGTCGGGCATATCCTCAAACAGGCAGGAAAAATAAAACATAGCCGACAAATCTTCAAAACAAATGAAACATAGTCAAACAATTTGTCCCCATACTATCTTTGCCTATTTTTGAATATTCCTCCTGTCGAGGGACAGAACCGACTCAACACTGGCAACGGTCACCCTCGATCGCCCGCGCTGGGGGCGCAGCCGCGTCAAGGCGGCGCCGAGCCTACGGTAGCCTCGATGAATCACTGCATCCTTGCTATGGGTCTGAGATGTAGCTTAAGTTGGGCATGTCCTCCTACAGGCGGATTTCAAAATAATAAACAACATGTTCTCGAATATAGCCTTAAAATCATCGCACGATATTTCCCGGACTATTTTTGAATTCTCCTTCTGTAGAGGGACATGCCCGACTCGACTGTAGCTGACTCTGTCTCGAGACACGAATTCCGACCCTCATTTCGCAACCTCCTCTGGAATCCCAAACATTCGGCGGACTGTTGTCTGTGCGTCCTTGCGTGCATAGATTCGCCGGCCCCACGGGCCAGACACGTGCTAGAACCTCTGGTTATGAGGCTCAAAGTCTTTGTATATTCCTAGTAGATCACGCGCGCACGGGGTGGCCCCTAGAGACTCTCGGAAGAAAAATATCCCTGGCAAACCATTGGAAGGTCGGGTCAGCGATGCTGGAAACCCCAGGCGCGGACTTCAGGACCCCCAGTAGAGATCCAGGACCGCTCGCAGGCCACGGCGGTCCTAGAGGTTTCGAATCGGGAGAATAACGCTCCAACAAATCCAGGATTGACTCAACAGGCCAAATCAGCAAAAGAGGGCCAAAGAGAGCCTCAAGCCCGCAGGGCAAGAAGAAGCAACATGATTTGTCCCCTTGCGTTCTCCAATGTTTGCAGTGTTTTCGAACAGCTTCAGAAACCCCAGGAGGCCCCAACATTGCCCTGAGATGGCCGAAGAAGCCTCCAAGAGGGCCCCAAGACGGCTCAAGAATGCCCTACGACGGTGCAGGACGCCCGCAAGACGGCCCGAGAAGGCCCCACGACAGCTTCAGACGGGCCCAAGACAACTCAAAGGCGGTCCACGAAGTCTACTCACGGCCCAAGACCTGCGGACGCCTAGCTCAGATATTTGGCGATTTGCGTGTGGTTTCACTCGGAGGCCCCAGATCTCCAGAACCCTTTGCGACGCCCCAGCGGGCTCACCTTACATCCTCGAATAAAGACTTCTGGTAGCCACGAAGCCTCCCCCCTGCATACCGAAATAGCGGAGAAGACCAGGCTGGAACGCATCAATCCGCCTAACGTCTGGACTTCGAGAGCATGTGGACCCGTCTTGTGGCTCCCTCGGGGCTCATGCAGGCTATCTTGAATTGTCCTCGGCCTCTTGGAGGCCTCTTGGATAAGGTCCGAACAGACGGGGTCGGAGGATCGCGCCGCATCGCTGATGCATCGATGCTTCGCCGATGCATCGGCGCCGTCGGCGTAGACAAAGCCAGGCTGCACATCCAGCCGCATCGGCGATGCATTGGCGATGGGGCGCGACCCTTCGACACCATTTGCTCAGACCCAATCTGGGAGGCCTAGAATATTGGAGGCCACCTTTCGGGAGACCACAGGTACTGATACCGCTGCTCCCTGGACCCTTCCAGGGGCGCGTCCTGACCATGACTTCGAGGCGTATCCAGCGACGGCGACGGGAGCCTCCGAGGAGGCCCCCCAAAAAGGGAAAACGAGGCAAGGGGAGCAGTATGGGTGCCTGTTCCTCCCCTGACATCTGGGAGGCCTAGAATTAGGTCGGGCGTGTCCTCCTGCAGGGGGAGTTTGGGCGAACACCCCAAAATTGTTAAAAATACACCAAACATCGTCCCCAGATTTGTTTTTGAATATTTTCGAACTTTCCCCCTGTAGGGGGACAGGCCCGACTGAAGCCTAGAACATTGGAGGCCATCCTGGAGCACCGAGGCCCCCTTGGAGCCACCGCGGCGCCATCCCGGGCGCTCCCCAGAGGCCTCCCAGGGCGAGTCCTCCCCGGAGAAAGGGGCCCTGGGACACACAAGCAAATACACACACAAATAACAGGATTCCCCACATGTGTCCCATAATTATGTTTTTGGTTTTTGCCTTCCCCCCCCGCTTCCCATATGTTCCCAGATCTTCCTGGGAATCGACGGTTCAGTCGTGTCTGTGTGTTCTTGTTTCCCTCCTGAATGGAGAGGCCACACAAAGGGGCCGTGGGACACACAAACAAATACACACACACACAAATAACAGGATTCCCCATATTTCCCCACATGTTCTTGGTCTTTGCCTTCCCCCCCGCTTCCCAGATGTTCCCATATCTTCCTGGGAATCGACGGTTCAGTTGTGTCTGTGTGTTCTTGTTTCCCTCCTGCGGAATGGCGAGGCCCGCGCCCCGCCCCCCCCCCACCCCGCGGCCCTCCTCGAGCACCGCGGCGTTGTGCCTGGAGGGCTTCACCCACCAGAAATCGATCCTCGGGCGCGGTGCTCGGGGATGGACAGACCCCCTTTAGCAAAACGTGGTTTAGTGAAACCGACCTGAGGCCCAAACCTTGCGGGCGCAAGCCTGGTGAATAACGGCCACGGCGCCCTCTCGAAAACCGAAAACGGACAATTCACTAATCGACGTGTCACTGTTGGGGGTTCTGTCCACCCCCGAGGTGCGCGGATGTCAGAGAAGGACAAGGCACACATGCCGCTGCCCCTCGCCCGTGTTCCCCTCTGGGGCAGTGCAAAGGGGAGTCACCACTGGGGGGGTCGCCACTTCCTCGAGGAAACGCCACTTCCTCGAGACTTCCTCGAGGAACTGGGCCCCCCAGAGCCCCGAAAACGCAAAGAAGCGTCCAAGAACATCCTCGACCCCTCGACTCTCCATCCTGGAACCTCGATTTCCAGGAGAAGCTGGCGACCCCCTCCGTGGTGACCCCCCTTGGCACTGCCTGACCTGTGTTTCCCTCGTTCGCCTTCCTGGGAGGCCCCGGTCGCCACCGCCGGGTTCGCCTCGGAGTCCTGGTCAGAACGCGCCCGAAGGGGAGGCCCGGAGAGTAGCGGTCTCGCTGGCGCTGGGTCTCCCCAGGACGATGGAAGAGGGTCAGATCTTCCTTCTGGGATCCAGCCACTCCACTCGTGCGTCGTAGCTGCGTCGAACGTCCGTCGACCCCAGGAGAACTTGAATCGAGCCCGCGTCAAGTCTGAAGCGAATCGGAGACGAACTTGAATCGAGCTGGGGTCCAAGAAGGTGCCCCAAACGAGCATCTACAGCGGAGGCCAGTCCACAAGACACCTTCCGCAAGATACCCAACCTTGAGACCCCAGGACGTCCATCGATTATTGGCGTGGGAACGTCGCGCTTCCCATGGCAGAACCATCAAAACCAAAGAAACCCAGGGCACCCTGGAGGCAAACAGGGTGTCTTGGCATGTGCCCCCACTGTAAAGCGGGAGGACGAGGGCGCACTCTTTCCAATCGGCGGCGCTCGCGGGCGCGGGCGCTGGGGTCGCTGACGGCAGCGCGTTCCGAGTGCGTGCGCTGGAGCGGGTGGGTGGAAGATCAGAGGGCGGCCGCGAAAGTTTAGCACGCCCGAAATGGCTACGGGAACAATGGGTACGGCAGGTTCGCGTCGAGACGACCCCAGAGTTGGTTGATGACACCGCGTGGATCGTTCATCCTTGAATGATCGGCGCTTTTCCATCGCCCGACCGTTCCATGTAGGCCGATTCTGGGCCACTGGCGGCGTTCAACCTTGAACGTCCGCGGCGGGGTTGCCGCCGGTCGGCACGACACGAACCTACCGTAAGATGCCCAACAAACATTGCCCAAAACCGACAGCGACCGCTGTTGGGCAGGTGGCCTCCCGTCTCACATGGACAACGACACAGGCGGCGCAGACAGCGAGCTCTGCTCAGAACGAACAGGAACTCATGTTGGGCATCGTACAGTCGGGGTGCATTAGAGAGGACACGCGAGAGGACACAAGACCCTTCCGCAGGCCACATTGCCATAGGCATGCAGAAGGCATGGGTCGCGAAACGCAGGACACGAGGGTACCCTCGATCTGGCAGGGTCGACCTTCTAATTAACCTCGTCTG